ATTGTTGCAAGATGGCTGCTGTACTTCCAGATATCACATCTATATTCCAAGTGGACCCAAAACCTTTTCCTCCTAAGGAGGAGCCCTTTTTTTTTACCCCCTTGGGGGAGGCCTTCCCAACAGGATCTGCTTACTACCTCATTGGTCAGAATTATGCCACGTGGTCACCACTGGCTTGAAGGTGTCTAGAAATGTGAAGAAGAAGATGAATCAGAATAGCGTTGAATGAAGCATCCTATAATATCTACCATACTGCCTGATATCCCAAAGGGCAGACAGGCAGGTAGCAAATAACTTCATCATTGCATAATAATTTATTACTATTAAGACAGAATACGTCTTAGGTTGGGTTTCTTTTGCGTTAGACCCTGAGATAAGAATTTGAGAAAAAGCAGCATTATTTGGGGGTGATCCTAGGACAAACTTGTACAGGGGTGGGGAATTGAGATGGACAAGGGAAGGAAATCAGTATGACATGTGCCATTGAGCATGGGGCTCAGCCCCACTGGGGACATTTGGGGACAGAGTAGAACACACCTCAGAGCTCGCCCCTAAGGGGTGAGATAGATGGGGCCATTTATCCTCCAACTCCATCCATCCTTGTGCTTTCCTGGGTGCAAGAAATCTCTGATAATTCCAGCTTTCTCACTGGGAGTGGGGTGGGGTGGAGTGGGGCAGTCCCTATGTGGAGAGCCACAGGTGAGTGTAGTAGGATGCTGTAGCATGAGCTGAAAAGTTGAGTGCCCGAGGTGGGGCTTCAACCACACCCGAATCAGCCTTTAACTTTAAAGTATGGTGTTAGGCAAACCCTTTATGAAGAATTTTAAAGTTGAGACCAAAAAAAAAATAAAAAAAAAAGGAGGGATAAGAGTGTTCTAGTTAAAGGGAACAGCATGTACGAGGGCCCAGAGGCAGGAAAGAACTTCACTCATTCAAGGCCTGAGTACGTGAGGCTGGCGAGGCAAGCAAGGCCTTGCGGATGCAGAGTGGCACAAATCCAGATCTCACTGATCAGAAAATAGCGTTTTTTTTCTTTTTTGCACGATACCCCTATGCTTCATAATGAACGGCAGATAACCTTTCTTCCTGATATTCTGACATCTTCCCTCCTTTCCGCTCTCCATTTCTTTCTTTTAAAATATTTCCTCTTTCCATTCTTCAAATGCACTGCCCCCTCCACCGTTTCCGAAAACATTTTCCACGTATTTGAAGAATACCATAGGTGGGACTCTGCATAAGAAATAAAGTACTTCTACGCCCATCGTCTCATCCTCACAGTGCCCTTTTGGGATTGGTAGGTATGAGCACCCCCATTTTATCGCTGAGGAAACAGGCTCAGAGAAGAGAGGCAACTTCTCCGGGATCACACAGCCTGTAAGATGCTGACTTAAGACTCAAAGGCAGCCTCTGTAATCCCTGTTGAATGTAGTTCTCCACCACTTTGGTACCCAGCATGGCGCCTGGTGTGGCTTTCGTGCTGGATGCTGTGGCTCGTTTGGATTCTGCCTCAGGACCTGTCTTCCCTGCCTCTTCGGTCGACTGGCTGAGTAATATCATCTGATATTTGATGTGCTCTACCCTTTCCCAGGTTCATTGAAAAAGATTACTTTCTGTTCTTTTTAGAGTGAGTGAGCACGATTCAGGTAGATTATATTAAAATCCTTGGGAAAGATAGAACGATCAGAACCTACAAGGTTATCTATGCGAAGGATGCCTGGAAGAGGGTCTCCTTATGTAGATGAGGACAGGGACTCAGTGAAGGGACATACATATGCTGGGTGTAGGGGCATCTGCTGTTTTTGTCTGCCATCGTCTCCTCTCCTGGTTTGGGGACTGATACCTTGGTTTTCTTTGGAAAGCCAGATAGGTTTTCTAGACAAAATACAGGGCACTCAGTTAAATTTGAACTTAAGATTAAACAACAACAAAATAAACATTTTTTTTTTGTATAGGTATATCCCAAATATTGCATGAGACATACTTATACTCAAAAGTTATTCATTGTTTATCTGAAATTCAAATTGAACTGGAGGTCTTGTATTTTTATTTGCCCCACGTGGCAGCCATGACACATCTCAGCTCGAAATATTAGGGTGGGACTGAGTTCCAGGAGTGGGAAGGTGATTTGGGACTGGCCAGTCGTAACATTCTATCCCTCTGAGACATAGAAATTGGTTCAGAGATGGCGGCATGACCAAAGACAGGTAAATGGGCATCAATTCTGGAAATCTGGCTAGCGCCACTAAAGAAGAGATTCTTTCTTTTTGTTGAGGTTGCTAAGCCATGAAAGGCAGCCCCTGGGGTCCAACAACTGAGAGTCTGCTTAAAGAATGAAGCCAAGATTGAGGAAAGCAATTGAGAGAGAGAACGAGAGTGAAGAGATTAGCTCTTAAAGACATTATTGGGGGTCCTGGGACCAGCCACATTGAATTTTACTTTCATCTAAGCGCCCCGATGTTGATGGAACAGTGGAGGACTGTTCATGACGGTGCAAGCGAAGATAACAGCCATAGTGTGACGGCGTTGAAAGCAAAGCCATCCGCGGTGATGATTCTAAGATCAATCTTCGTCGAGACGGTGGTCGAAGGGGTGATGGAGTAGAATGGTGTGCAGAATCAAGGGGAGGACGTGTTCTTGCTGGTGATAGCTCTGTTGAGGGTGCTGCTGCCGCCGCCGATAACAAAGATGAAGATGTGATGACGAAGATTAAGACGGCGTGGGTAAGGGAGAATAAAGTAATCAGGAAAAGGATAATTCTCAACCCACGTCTCTCCCCAAGTCCTATCACTTCTACCCACCTCGATTCAAAATAATTATTCACTTCGCTTCCTGTCCACTATGGCCACCGCCCTAGCCCAGGCCATCAGCTTCCACTGCACCACCTTCCTAAATGGCTTCCTTGCTTCCCTTCCTGTCTCTGTCTAGTCCATGCTCCTCACTGAAGCTGGTAGGGAGACCGAGCTTTTCTTCAAATGTAAATGAGAACGTTTCACTTCTTTGCTCAAAACCATTTAGTGGTTTAGACTAGAATCCCAATTCTTGATCATGGCCTCAAGACCCACATGACCTGGCCCCGACCTGTGCCCCCAATATCATTTCTCTCTATTTGCTCCTCTGTCACTATGTTCTAGCCTGATTTCTCTTCTTTCAGTTATTTTAGAATGTACCAAACCCTTCATATAAGCCATCACCTGGGCAGGAAATGCCGTTACATTTTGCATGTCTCAAGGTCACTTTCCTGGATTCTGAATCTAAATGAAACCTCTCCTTTGTCATTTTCTCGCATAGCTCCCTGTACTAAGCACATTTCGTTTAATAATTCTCTTCGATTCATTAACTTTTGAGTCTTGGCACAAGGTTTTTTTCTTTTTTAAGAATGTGTCTCAGAAGCACCAAGATTTTGATCTCTTGGCCATAAGGGCAGACTCCAGGGACCTTTGGTAGCTGCAGCCCCTGAGGCTGATCATCTCCAGCATCTAGAAGCTTCTTCCAGTTACCCTTGCGCCATATGAATATGATTATTTTCTCTGTGTGCCCTGAGAAGCCTGAAAGGCCTACACCTTACACTTCTTAAGAGCAGGAGCAGTGTTTGGACATACTGCATAGTGTCTGGCACACAGTGGCACTCAAGAAGTATGTCTTGAAAGAATGAAAGGTTTTATGGTGGTGAAGATGGTGGAATAGATAAGGGCGATGGTGATGGTAATGAGGAGAATGGTGATGGTGCCGATGATGGTGGTGATGGTGGTGATGACGGTGATGACGGTGGTGGTGATGGTGATGGTGATGATGGTGATGGTAATAATGGTGGTGACGGTGGTGGTGTCGGTGATGGTGATGATGGTGGTGACGATGGTGGTGACGGTGGTGATGACAGTGGTGATGATGGTGGTGATGGTGGTGGTGACGGTGGTGGTGACGTTGGTGGTGATGGTGGTGGTGATGATGGTGGTGATGGTGGTGGTGGTGGTGGTGGTGACGATGGTGGTGATGTTGGTGGTGACGGTGGTGGTGACGATGGTGGTGATGTTGGTGGTGACGGTGGTGGTGATTAGGAGTCAGTCGATGGTAATGGTGATGATGGTGATGCTGATGCTGGTGGTGATGATGGTGGTGACGTGGTGGTGACGGTGGTGGTGACGATGGTGGTGACGGTGGTGATGACAGTGGTGATGATGGTGGTGATGGTAATGGTGATGATGGTGATGCTGATGCTGGTGGTGATGATGGGAGTGCTGATGGTGGCAAGAATGGTGATGAAGGAAGACTTTGGTGATAGACACCATAGCCAAGAGGACCTGGCTTAGCCCATTGCTTTAAAGAACTTTGATAAAAAATGGATCTGCCTTTCCCCTTAGGAGCTAGCCTAGAAAGATCAAGGGAAGGTGAATTTTGGAGCAAGGGCAATTGGAGCTGGACGCAGAGGGGCCGTTGAAGATTATCCGCAAGCTCTGGGAAGGGCTGTCTGGCCCGCAGCGCCCCTTCTTCTTACTCCCCAGCGCCCCTTCTTCTTACTCCCCAGTTTGTGGGAAAGCCACCCTCCCTTCCCCCACACAGCCCAGCCTCCAGCGCGGCCGGGGCTGAACACCAAGAAGAGGGAGCACGGTCCCAAGACCTGTGGGAGGGCGGGCGAAGGAGGACTCTTGGAGCCTCGGGCGGGAAGTGGGGCACTGAGGAGGTGGTGTGGAGAGAGCGAGAGGGGCTGGGGTGGGCAGGGAGAGGCAGGGCAGAGCGAGCAACAGCTGGGGGTTCCTGGGAAGTAAGGGAGGGGATTGGAGCGGGAAGGGTCTGGGGGAGAAGTGGGAAGAGAGATGAGAGGGTGCGCTTGGGCTGGGGTCTGAGGGCGCAGGTGATGGGGTCTCTGGAAGGAGCGCGTGCGGGTCCCAGGACCCAGGTGAGACTCTGAGGGGCGGAGCCAGGGGCGGAGGAGGGATCGAGGTCTGGAGCTGGGGTTCCAGACCCCAGCAGAGCGACTCGGGCAGTGAGCTGGGAGCTGGGAGATGCGGGTGCCCCTGGGCGCGCTGGCGGGCGCCGCGGCGCTGGCAGGGGCGCTCAGCTTCGTGCTGCTGGCGGCCGCCATCGGCACCGACTTCTGGTACATCATTGACACCGAGAGGTTGGAACGCGGCGGCCTGGGGTCGCAGGACCGCGCGGGGGGCGCCAACCAAAGCCAGCTGGAGCCCCTGAGCTCGCACTCCGGCCTCTGGCGCACCTGCCGGGGTAAGGGGCCCGCGGGGACCCGGGCCGGGGACCTGTTGCTGGGCGCCCGCCCCTCCTCCCAGCCTCCAAGCTTTAAACACGGCGTCTGGGGGTCCGCAGGGAGGTGGACAGAGGGCGGGGGCTGCCAGCACCCTTCTGAGACGTGGCCTCCGCACGCGCTCCCGGTGGCGCATCTGGGGCGGGTGCGGGGCATCTTCGGGCTGGGGTTCCAACTCCAGGGCCCTGTCCACTGCTTCCTCTGTCCCCTGCAGTCCAGAGCCCGTGCGCGCCGCTGATGAACCCGTTTTGGCAGGAGAACGTGACCGTCAGCGACTCGAGTCGACAACTTCTCAGTGAGTCCGGGGTGGCGAGGCTGGGAGGGGACCCCCTAGGGTGGGCCACCAGTTTTGGAGCACTTCTCCTAACAGCGGGCGGGGGCGGGCGGAGCGGCTTGGCGGGTGGCCTCTGACACCGGCGGGAGGGGGAACCGGAGCTGGGAGCAGCGGGCGGGGCTTCTCTGGCTCCACCTGTAACGTGGTGCGGTTTAGGAGTCAGTCGACAAACGGTCGAGCGCAGACTTTCTGTGTGCCAGGCACGGTGCTGACGATTAAGACCCAGGCCTTGCCTTCAAGGAGCTCACAGACCTGCTGCGGAGACAGACGTGGGAATTCAGTTCTATTTCAGAGTGACAGCAGCGTGAGGGAAGGTGGCTGGGATCTCAGGGAGACACCTAAACCAGCCTGGGGAGCTGAAGGTCAGAAAGAGGAGAGGTCTTATCCCATAGGTCAGAAGGCACACCCCGGTCAGCCTTGCCTGTATCCTCACTGTAGCAGGGATGTAATAAACATCTGTGGAATGATTCAAGGAAGGCCACCCTGAGGCAGAGGACACCCCCTCCCTCCAGGGGCCACCGTCTGCCCTGGGGGTGGCTGATTTCCCAAGTGCCTAGCAGGGTATTTGGAAGCCAGCAAACTGCAAGGCCCGAATGCAGGAAGGCAGACGCATTGAATGAACACTTGTGGAAGGAGGGAAATGAACGTAATAGTCCAGTTCATTGAGGCTCGCTGCGGGCCAGACGTGGAGCCAAATGCTTTTCATCTGCCTGCATTTAATCCTCACAGCCTCCATTTTTATCTTCGTTTTTTCCAATGTGGAAACTGAGGCCCGAGGAAATGAAGACTGAGTTCCATAGACGGTGAAAAATGTGTCAATTTTGGATAGACTCACTGAGGCTTGTCCCTAACGTGGCCCACTACGGCTGCCAGGGACTCTCTCCAAGTCCGTTGCCCACTTTGCTCTCTCCTCTCTGACTATGCTGGCCTTGGGCCAGGTCCTGGAACATGCCACGCTTCCTCCTGCCACAGGGACTTTGCACATGCCATTCTCTCTACCTGGAGTCTGCCCGCTCCCACCTGCTGGCTTGACTTGCTCAGCTCCTACTCATAGGACAGGTTGCATGATGTTTTTGGCGTTAAAATCTCACCCTCGTTAGACTGGGAGCTCCATGAGAGCAGGAGCCACGTCTACCTAGCCACTGCCGAGATCTCAATATTTAGCGCAGAGCCCGGCAGAGTGTAGGCCAGGAGCCAAGGTTTGCCGCACAGGTATGAGAATGAATGCAGACTAGATTATGTTACAGGTGGAGCTCAATATATATTTGCTGAATGAATGAATGAATGAATGAGCAAATGAATGAACCAGAGTTGTTTCTGTGAAGTCCAGTGGTATGCTGGAAAATATTTAACAACTGGCTCTCTGGGAGGGAAGGGGGGCGGGGCAGAGGAGTCTGGATTTGTAGCATTTGCTGATTTCTGTGGTGTAAATATTCTCCCTGTGGTCAGTTTCGAGGTATCAACATGATGTCAGCTGGCTCACAAAATTCCTAAAACTTAATTGGTTCTCGTGAGCTGATATGATCCAGCTCCAGCATACCATGGCATAAGGTCTCACTGAAGGACACATCCCCCAGACACCTGGAACATATGGAAGGTTGAGGAAAGGTAGAGGTACTCTGGACTCTGCCCTCAGCTTCACGCTGGACTGTGAGGAACTTGGATGTTCTCAGAATGTTGTTTCAAGAATAATCAAGAGTTCTCACCCTTGAAGTAAGGAAGATGGGGGTCAAATCCCAGCTCAGACCTTCACCAGGACCCTCTGTGATCCTGGGATAGGTGTCTTAACCGCTCTGAGCCTTGCTTCCTACATCTATTGAAATGAGATGCCAAAACCACGAGGAAGTGTGGTCAGGATTCTAAGAACCGGACGGATGAAAAAATAGACTTTACCTGGGACCTCCCATAGTGCTGCTTGCTGTGGGACCTCTACTCTGCATGAAAGAATTTGCTATAAAAGTACTAGACACATAATAAGTGCTCAATAAACACGAATCCTCTGACCATTCCTTCCAGCCTCTTTTAGATGCAGCCATATCTATGGAGTGCCAACCCTTTGTAGGGCTGGGTGCTGGCATCCAGACCACTCATCACATCTATGGGTGAATTGGATGGCTAACTCCCGTATAGCTCTCATGGGCACAATGAGAATAGCTGTCATCTTTCTTCATAAGGATATTGTGAGGATGCAAGGGGAGAGCGTATTTAAAGAGCTTCCGGCAGGGCCTGGCCCCCCGTAAGTGCGCCTGAAGTGGTAGCTGCTATTATTACCATTATATCATCTGCAGCAGAGAGCAGTCTGCCCCTTCAGACCGCATGCTTGCTGCAAATCACCCCTGGAGAGAGCTTTTTTCCCAGAATGTTTCTATCTCTAGAATGAATTTCGAATCTTGTCCAAGCTCTTCTAGTTTGTGAAGATGTTTCTTTCCTTAAAGGGGAGAGGCCAGCTGTCAAGGCGGCATGTCCTCTGAATCAACCTCCTAGACCCATCCTGGTGGGGGTATGTGGGGAGAACCTTGGATTTTTCCTTCAAGAAAACCCAAGCAGGCAGACCACTTCAGTGCCCAAGAACAATCCACTTTGTTTTTCAGGTTAGCTCTGGGGATGTTGTGGCTTTGGTTCCCTGGCTAGGCACTGGACTAATTTTGGCGGGGAGAGAGGTCATCTAATTCAGCACAGTGCAGATAAGAGCCGCAGTCTGGAACAGTATCAGCCAGGAGTCTTTTGGTGGCAAGTGGCAGAAATTCAAATCATACCCGTTTAAACAAGAAAAGGAATTCTTGGTCCATGTAACTGCAAAGCTCCAGCCTGCTAGAATCCAGAGAACTGAACTCAATTTTTCTTCTCCTCTTGGGGCTTTGCCTCTGTTTGGGCTCTGCTTTCAACTAAATCATGTCCAGTCTTAACAACCCAAGCAGGAGGAGACTTGCTGTTTACCAAGAATTCTGTAAAACTTTCAGGTAGGCTTCTCGCTGGACCAGATTGGATCACATGTCCAGATCTGAGCCAATGCCTATGGCAGAAGGGATGGGATATGTGGATTGGCCAGGCTGAGTTATGTGCCAGTCGTGACAAAGGATTATCCCTATGATAAATAAGGACCCACCTCTTACCAGCTGTCTGACTTCTGGCGAGTCACCTTCCATAAACAGGCTGCTTTGAGACGAAATGAGGTCACATGAGCAAAGCATCCAACACAGATGGCACTGTGTGCAGTAGGAGCTCAGTTAATGTCTCCTCCTCCTGCTTTAAGTCATATTGCTTCCTTGAGCCTCAGGCTTCTCACCCATAAAATGGAGCTGATCCTCACAACAACCTCATGAGGCGGGTACTGTTATTATCATCCTCATTTTTTTGAATGAAGAAACCGAGGCACAGAGAGGTTAGGTAAGTTACCAAAGTTTGCACAGTAACTGGTAGATCAGGGATTTGAACCCAGGCAATGTCTACCCTTTTAGAATGATGCTACACTGAGTATAATTTCAGTGTAATGTGAGCCACGAGGCAGGACTGAGCTTGGCCGTCCTCTGAGGAGGTGAGATTGGGTGCTGGGCTCTTGCGGGAGTGTGGAAATTAAAACCAGCCCTCCCATGATGCCTGGTGCAAGTCACAGGAGAGGAGGTGGTGGGTACAGGCACGGAGAAGGGACTGGGGACATAAAGGTGTTCAGATGCTGCCTGGGCCCAGGAGGGAACTTTGAGTTGCAAGGTATGCATAGCTGCACTCCTCCAGGCACAAAGCCCCAGGCTTCGGGACGCCCACAGAAAGTCAAGTACGCATTAAAAAATTCATATTCAAAGTAATTCCACTCCTTGGCATTGACCGTGTTTGGCTTCTGAGAAGAGGTTCACCATACTATTTTTGTAACAGTGAAAAACAAGACACAGCTTCAGTGCCCATGCACGGAGATGTGGCTAAACATTTATGTGTGATATATTCATTGTGTGGAATATTATGTAGCCTGTAAAAATAGTATACTAACCTGGGTAGAATGCCAAGTTATACTATGAAATGAAAAAAAAAACCAAAAAAAACCCAAACCAACCCAACGGATTACAGGGTGTTATGGGCAGTATGATTCCATTTGTTATTTCTCCCCTCATCCCAACTCCCCCCCTGCCCGAGTTATACCTTTTCTGTGGGTAGATGCCAAAAATTTAACATGCCATTCAGAAAGAAAACAACCCTGCCAATTATAAATGTGAGACGCTTTGGATGGTCAAACACATCCTATTTTTAGATATGTTAAAGTGTGACCAAATGCACACCTTGGGGAAATAAGTAAATATATGTAGGAAAAACCCATAAATATATGGAAAAAAGACTGGAAGGATGTGCTCTAAGCATTCCTGGAGGTTCACTCTGGGAGGAGACGAAGAAAAAGCCGGGGGCGACCACATGAGTCATGTTTGAAAAATTCCCCAAAAGAGTGTTATAGATTGCTACCAAATACACCCCAAGAGGATGCCCTAGCGGGCGAACTTCTCCTGAGTGTGGTTCATGGAGCTATTTGCGATCTCTGCTTCTCTCTCCAGCTGCCAGAACCGAGGTATGTGCGTGCTTCTGGAGTGTCTCCTGCTTTGGGGTCTTGGCACATTCTGTCCTCTCTTCCAGGAACATCCGCGCCCCTCCCCTGGGTCCACTTAATGCCTCTTCACCTGACCTCCGGGTCTTAGCTAAGATCCCCACTCCAAACCCTTCCTCACTCCCAGGCTGGGTTAAGCACCCGTCTGCAGTCCCATCACCCCTTTGCCAGCCCCCTTTCTTGTGACACTTGATAGCTCCTCCGTCTTGAGCAACTGACATACCTTGAACTTTGACACCTTGAACCTCGGTTTCCTCATCTGTGAAATGGGAAAAAAGAGTTAAAAACTTACCTGGAAGAACATAAGGTACTCGAGGATAAGAAAGAAACAATTACCCCAACGTTCAAAGCTCACAACGGCTTGGCAAAGTCAGAAGGTAATCCATGGTCCAATTTGACAGGTGAGGAAACGGGCTTTTGAAAGATGGTATCATTTTCTTGGTAAGAGACAGAGTCAGGATTTGAACCCAAGTCTTTGCTTGCAGAGAGCGTTCTTTGCATACCACAACAACGCACCTCGGAGACCATGAAGATAACTGAGAGGCATTCCCGGTCCTCAAGGGGGCTATGTTCTGCTAACAGCAGACTCAAGGACAAATATTTACAAAAATTTTTTAAAAATTTTCTTATCAAGCACAATAGGATTGAATGTGTCTGGGCCCATCCTGGAGTCTCAAAGTCACACTGACAAGGTTGTAAACTAAAGACGGTGACATTGCCCGCTTTGGTTTGAAATGGTTCCTGAGACTTTCTTCGGCTGCCAGAGCGTCTGATGTATCTGGAGAAAAGCGGGTCCCTTCTGGCTTTAAGAGCAGAACTGTTGCTTCACTAACCACCTCGGGGGGTCCTGATCTCGGGAGCATTGTGGGAGCCTGGTTTTCCCGCCGAGCGGTTCTTTGCACCATGTGACAACGGAGCAGTCAGTTTTCCTCTGCGGGGGCATTTTTACTTCTTTCTGGGTCTGCATTTTTTTAACTCGCGACAAAGCATTTTTGAGTTGAAAATCTCTTGTACTTGGGCACGTATTTATCCTCGATGAAACCATGACCTTGATGAAATAATGGCAACGTTATTGTTATCAATTCTACTGAGCTATCATCTGTGGAGCTTCGACTGCAGATTCTACAGCGGAGTGGAAGGCGTCACTCCGCCAAAAGACAGGTCCACGTCCTAACCCCTGGTACCCGGGAATGTGACATTATTTGGTAGAAGTGTCGCTGCAGATGTAATTAAGTTAAGGATCTTGGGATGAGATCATTTTCGATTCACCAGATGGGCCCTAAATCCTATGACAAGTCTCCTTATAGGAAAAGGACAATCCCAGAGGGGAGAAAAGCAGGCCGTGTGAAGACAGAGGTGGACGTTAAGAGCGAGGCTGCCACAAGCCAAGGGACATCAAGGATGGTCAGCGTCCATCAGAAGCTGGAAGAAGAGGGGAAGGATTCTCCGCTGGAGACTTTGGAGGAAGTGCGGTCCTGCTGACACCTTGATTTTGGACTTGAGGCCTCCAGAACCGTGAGAGAAGAAATTCCAGCTGCGTTTAAGACACCGAGTTTGCAGTAATTTGTTACAGCGCCCGGAAGAAACTAATACGGCCACTCCCTGCCCACCCCGTTTTTCCGTGTCATCATGCTTATTTCCTTCGTGACACGTCGCAGTCTGTAATTACCTCCTCTGTTTCCTTGCTAGTCTCTCTCCAGGACCGGGGCAGGGTCCTCGTCCACGGCGGCGTCCCCGGCTCGGTGGCAGAGCCCGACCCTTATCAGAGGCCCGTAGACGTTTGTTCTTGGATGAGATGTGGTTGGAGATGGGTACATTTCCCAAGAGAACAGAACTCATGTTCCAAGTCCACAGCCTAGAAAAATCAAAAAATAATAAAGGCGAAGGCACATGCAAAAAAAAAGAAAAAAAGAAAAAAGAGAAAAGAAATAAAAAAGAGAGAGAGCTAAAACCACATTGCAGCAGGAGACTTTACAACTCTCCCATGGGGACTGTTCTTACCCAGGCTTTTAATTGAATTCGTACATCAAGTCCGTTTGTAGCGCGTCTGGGGAACTCACACGTGGGCTGCCAGGGCTCGATCAACTCCGGGAAACCTTATTAATTTCTAAATGAGGAATGATTTTACTTTTCAGCCATCGTTTGGAGACAGTACCATGCCGGGGCCAGATCTACAGGACCAGGTTTTCATGCCAGCTGTTGTGCTTCCTTGCCCAAGATTTTTCCTTAGGAAAGGAAGGAAGGAAGGATGTGGAGGGGGCGGAGGGAGAGGAAGGAGAACCACAGGTCTCGTCCCCTGTAATCACATTTTCTCCCGTGACAGCCCTGGGAGGGAGATCGGTCTTGTTTCCTTGACGTACTGAGGTTGGTGGCATTTAGGGGACTGAGAACAAAGTGATTTGGTCACAGTGGAAGTCAGACTGAATTATTACCACTTCGTCGTCTTTATTTGTGGCAGGTTATGATTTATTTAGTACTTTTTCTACAGGATACGAATTGAACAACTCCCCCATGCCGCTGCATTGTTTTTACACATATTGTTCTTGGGATAATACTGTGGACCACATATTATTACCTCCATTTCACAGATGTGGAAATGGAGCTTCTGAGGAATTAAGTGACATGCCCAAGGCCCCCAGTCAGCGCCCCAATTTAAATGGCAGATCATCCAGCTCTAAAGTCCATATTTTTAACCACCGTGAGGTCATCTCTCAAGCTTCCTTGGTTTCTTTTTGAATTCTTAGCAACTGCCATATTTTTACTGCCAGAGAGCCATGCTGTCTAGCTTTTAGTGAATTAATTAGGTCAACAAATACCTGTCGAATACTCACCACATCCTAAGAGTGTTACTAGAAATTCAGGGATGCAATTGTACAAGAGGAGACAAGATCTGCCTCGTCAAGGAACTCACAGCTTAACAGGTGAGACAGAAAAGTGACTAAGATGCCTTCAACACTAGGAAACAAATGCCAGGACAGGGCGACTATGGAGAGCCGAGGGGGCACAGAGCAGGGCCACCTGACCGTGAGGACAGCGGCAGACGTGGATAGAAAAAGACTCCTGGAAGAAATGATTCTTCGATTACTCTGAAGGATGGAAGTGTTTATTTTCATGCCTATCTTGTTGCCAAAAGAATGCAGAGAGGCCCAGTGCCCAGCTCACAGTAAATGGCTGATAAATGTTTGGTAAATGAATGACCGGTGAAAAAGAACTTTGCACTTGTTTCCCTTTTTGCATTGGTTGTTGGGAAGCTCAGAGCCAAAGTGGTGGCAATTATTTAGACCTTGAGCTCTCGAGACCCTAGACTTCCTCCATCCCTCTCCCACCCCACCTCACCATGGGTCTTGGCTTTCATGTAATTCATTCACTTCTATTTTCCAATTTTATAATGCAAGTTCTAATCATGCCTTGTAATGTAGTAATGTGCCTCTCTTTTCCCTCGCTCCATGCCACCCTCGCTGGCTTTCCCTAGGGGACCCCACCTCCCAGGCGCACTCCCATCTCACACTCTGCACCTGCTCCTGCCTCTGCCTGTGACCCTTGCCCTCTGGCCCTTCATTCTGCACAGATGCCTCCCTTACCTCCTTCAGGTCTTTGCTTCATCGAATGTCACCCCCTTGCTGTATTTACTCCCCACCCCATGCATTTGTCACCACCTCTCAACTTTGTCACTTATTTATTTGTTCGCTACTTGATTCCGCTCACTAAATGGCAGCCCCACGAGGGAAGAAGTCTTGGTGTGTTTGCCACCGACTCAGCCGTTTCAATGTGCCTGGCACACAGTACGCACTCCATACACATGGGCGGAGTGAATTAGTGAATGAACAGTAAATACCTACCTTGCAAGGGGCATGAGAATTACATGCGACAATGTTTATGCAACACAAAGCCTGGCAGAGACGAGCCTCAGTAAGTGTTCTTAGTATTATTATTGCTATCATTAGAAGTAGTAGTAGTAGTAACTGGTGGTGCTAATTCCTGCCCACAGCATTTGGGCGTGGCCCCATAGCAGATGATCGAGAAATGTTTGTTGATTGACTGAAGGATGTTAATGACCTGCTGTCTTCTCTCTTCTCAGTCATGCATGGGACCTTCGTGATTCTGCTGCCGCTCAGCCTGATCCTGATGGTGTTTGGGGGGATGACAGGGTTTCTGAGCTTCCTCCTCCGAGCCTCCCTCCTCCTTCTGCTCACGGGAACCCTCTTCCTCTTTGGAGGTAGGTGCTCCCCTCGCCAGGGGCTTGGGCTCCAGCAGGACGGGCTGCACACGGACCCTCAGCAGGGGAGGGAACAGGGGCCCCGTCGTCTCTCTGGGCTCAGTTTCCCCATCTGTGATATCCCAGCTGCAACGGATGAGCAGTTTCCGGCCCAGGGTCCCTCGTTTCCTGGGTCTGTGGTCCCAACGGCGAGGCAGAGGGGTGGAAAGCGGGCTCTGAGAGTCATTTCCATGATTTTGCCAAAGAAGCAGTTCGGAGGGAGCGTCCGCTTTAGGGCTGGGAGCCGGCAGAAGACCTTCACTCTTGTGCCCTCTGCCATTCTGACAGAATCCGCTGTGATTAATTAAAAATCCGGGCCACGCCTGGGTTAATACCGTGCGCTTGGCCGACCAGAGGCTTTCAAAGCTGGGATCCAGCACACTGGCTGCTTGTGCTCAGGCCTCACTACTTCCGCTGCGCTTGACACGGTCCTACCTTAAAAAAAAAAAAAAAAACGAGAACATGAGAACATCGATGACACACACACTTGGAATCTATGGAGGAAAAAAAATAAAAGGAGTAAGCGAAGGTGAAAATCTGAGGCTCAGATCTGCAAGCACCCACGATCATTATTCATGTCGGCATTCATTGCTCATCCAATGACAAAATCTGGACCCTGGCACCGCCCGGGGGTGACGCTCCCTGACCTGCGCCGTGCAGTGGGGGAGCCGGGACCCAGGTTCAGGGGCACACGACACGCGGCAGGTGCCAACGAGGGGCTGAGCCTTTCGTGTAAATTAAGTTTAAACAGCCTCGCATGGCCAGTGGCTCTAGGCCCGGACAGCGCAGTTTTAATGATATGTCTTTGAAGACCCACTGTGTGCGGGGGTCGTTCTGGGTGCTGGGAAATCCAGGGCGAGGCCCTGGAGCTCTCGGCTCGGTGGGGCAGACAGACGTTAGTTATTTCACAAACGAATGCAAAGTCGCAGTTCCGACCTGGGCAGTGACAGAGGGCTGCGCGGTGCTGTGAGCCACAGGGGGATTTGATCTGAGTGGACACACGAGCCGAGGCGCAGGGATGGAGAGGCGTTACTGATGGCAGGAAGAAGGGAAGGAGGGTGTACCGGGCAGAGGGCCCAGTGTGCGTGGGCCCTGGGGTGAGAAGGAGCACGGATGCCTCACAAGGCCAGGGTGGCTTGGCCGGGCGACAAGGAGGAGGAGGGCAGTGCCAGGGGGGTTGATCTGCTCTCCTTGGCCTCCCTGCAGCTCTGGTCACCCTCGCTGGCATCAGCCTCTACATCGCGTATTCCGCCGCCGCCCTCCAGGAGGCGCTGTGTCTCCTGGAGGAGAAGGCCCTCCTGGACCAGGTGGACATCCGCTTCGGCTGGTCCCTGGCCCTGGGCTGGATCAGTTTCATCGCCGAGCTGCTCACCGGGGCCGCCTTCCTGGCGGCAGCCCGCGTGCTCAGCCTGAGACGGCGGCAGGAGCAGGCCATCTGAACCTGGAGGCCTGGTCGTGGTGGGAGGCAGCTGGCCCGGGGCCTCGTGGACCCATCTTGGTAGGCCGCGGCCTCTTGTTCCTCCAAGGCCACTAGTGGAGGCCAGGGGCCCAACCCGAGAACCACTGTGGACTAAGCTCAGCGCCTGTGCTGCCTGGTGGTGTGTGCTGTGTGTTCCGGCTGGAGGAGGCCGAGGGGGTGCAGAACCCATGAAACAACAAAACAACCCCTTAATCACAGACAGAACATTACAGAATGCAGCCTCCGCGTGCCTGCTCTGGCTTTCATCCTCATCCCTGCCCTCTGGATCAGCTCTTCTTCTTCGTTAAGGAGACGGAGGACCAGAGAGGA